AAAAAAAAAAAAAAAACTATGTGAGGGTAATATGGTCTTCATAGAATAACCAATTGCGTTTAAGGTCTCTTTAATAAATTAATTATCAACTATCAATTGACTTTTCAAGATTTCACCCAAACACGCAAAGAAGCATAACGGGGAAAATAATGTGAACTAGGTGTTGGCTATATAGTTCTTATGACATTTTTATTTTATTATTTTTGGGGTAAAAAGTTGTTCCCTCTATTCAAATGTACAAAAATGTTACGGAGGCAACGAATGACTCTCTTATAGAGCTATCCAAAACTTGATGCACTGACACGTGTTTAATTAAAGTGTATTTATTAAATGACATGTATCAATCCACCATTTGTTAATAACTGTAAATGGTTCCTAACCCATGTCATCCGATGACAAAACTATAAAAATGTGTACCTAAATTTTTAATGCGTCTGTCAGACCATTAGGCAGGTCAACTCAGTCGTACTTTTATAATATTTGTATATCTATATTACAAAATGTCATACATTTTTCACTTTATTTATGTTGTTCTGTAAAGTATGATATTTTAGTTTGAAATTATATCTCCGCACAAAAAATATGGGTAAGTAATAAGTCAATAACTCAAGTCATATCTTTATTAAAATTGTATACGTATGTTGTTATGAAATGTCATACTTTCATTTATATTATTTTGTAAAATACGATATTTTAATTCGAAATAATATATTTCTGCTGAAAAAAGTATAGGTATGTGATGGTTAACTCTACTTTTATTGTTGTGGAAGTTTACATGGTGCCTTGACAAGAAATGCTTGTTGACTTTGGCTGAACTTTTTATTTATTATTATTATTATTATTATTATTATTATTATTATTATTATTATTATTATTATTATTATTATTATTATTATTATTATTATTATTTTATTATTATTATTTTTTATTTTTTATTTTTTATTTTTTATTTTTGGAACAAAGCCTTTTTATATTGATTGCTTGTAAGAACTAACTGAAGTTTGATATTTCTCTACACTATGTTGACTGTTGTAATATATAACAAGAAATTAAATCATATGATTATTCTAGAATATTAATTAGTCACATTTAATTGTTTGGTAATTTGGTGTGGGGCTCGATAGTCAATTTCTTGTTAGAAAATGGGGCGAAAGTTCACCAACTCAGGAAATTAATCATTTAATCTCACAATTGAAGTAACACAATGATAAATGATACAAATACGTGTATAATAGTGACATCGTTATAGGAACTAGTAAATATCTCGTGCACATGCACATATTTATATAAAATATTATAAATAATATTTTAGAATTTAATATAAAATTTTAGATAATTAACATATTACATTTTTAAAATTTAATCATTAGAAAAAATAAATTAATAATTGGTTATTATTATGAACAGTTGTTTATTATCATTAGATAATTGCAGTTATTTATTATGAACAGTTGTTTATTATCATTATGAACAGTTGTTTATTATCATTATGAACAGTTGTTTATTATCACTAGTAAATATCTCGTGCACATGCACATATTTATATAAAATATTATAAATAATATTTTAGAATTTAATATAAAATTTTAGATAATTAACATATTACATTTTTAAAATTTAATCATTAGAAAAAATAAATTAATAATTGGTTATTATTATGAACAGTTGTTTATTATCATTAGATAATTGCAGTTTGATTATTATTATTATTGATATTATTATTATTATTATTATTATTATTATTATTATTACAAAAATAATTGTTTATAAGATTTTAAAACTGTTTGACTATACTATTAAAATAATTTACTAATTGTTTTTAAAGAAATTCTTTCACGAAATACAAAAGAAAAAATATTGATGTTATAATAAATAACTTGACACGATTGTTTATAATTATGCAATTTATATTTTTTGTGAATTATTATTATTAGTTGGTATTAGTATTAATTGTTATATAATATATAAGAAAAATACATGATTACACTCAATAAGATGTATTAATATAAGAAGTAAAAAACATTAATAATAAATTTTGTAACCGAAAATGGAAGAAAAATTTTAAAGATTTTATTAAATAGATTTTCTTAAATGCATTAGCTAGTAAATAGATTAAACCAATTCTATTTCAAAATTGTCATTCGATTTATGTTTCATTCCATTTGTTTTGATATATCTATATGTGTGTGTATAATAGTAATTACATTTCATAGACACGTGTTATTCGTACTCTGAAACAAGAAATTTGATCCCCTATTTCGAGATTAACATTCTCGAATAATAATATTATGTTTGGTAAAACTACTTAATTGATAGCTGATAAATTAATTTATAGCTTATATGTAACTTTCGAGCTTAACGCGTCAGAGATAAACTAAGGGGAAAGGTATAACTTATGACTTATAGTTGAAAAACTAGCTTATACGATAAAAGTATTTGGTAAAATTAGCTGATAAGCTAGCTGAAATAAAAAAAAAAAAAAATTGAACTAGCATACTTGAAAAGCTATTTAAAGTAGCTTATGAGACAAGTTCAATCTTTTTAAGTAAGCTCGTCCTACCAAACGAGTCTATA